GTTATTAATCAGCCAGCTTGTTGATTAGCAAAGCACAGACAACTACTGTGGCAGCAGGGCTTCTTTTATACCCTGCATAAAGAATGTAGTATCAGGATTGCAAGAAGATTTATTGACAATGTGTGTTATACAGATGACAGTACTTGAAGAGGGTTAAGACTTAAAGCACTGAAGATTAAAGACTATAGCCTTCAGTATGGATTCTACCTCAACGTCTAGAAAACAAAAATACCTCTGGACCAATAGGCAACATCATGATAGATGGAGAAAAGATTGAAGCTGTCAAAAACATTCATTTTACTTTGATTCATAGTCTGTACCCATGATTGTTGTTGTTGTTGTTGACTGCTTTTGAGTTGAGCATGACTCATAGCAACTCTATGAACAAAAGGCCTGAAGCCCCTCTACAACTATCAACATTTATCAAATCACAGAGTTTCTGAAGGCATGTTACTTAGGAAGTGGACACCACTCCTTCCAAACATGTCATAGTATGTTATTGTTATGTGCCATTGAGCCACCTGCAATACCTAGAGACCCTATGTACAGCAGCTCTGAACCCCTTCCCTGTCCTGAGCCAGTCTCACTAATTCTGACACACCAGCTCCCATCACCTCAGTTACTGTATCAATCCATCTCATCTGGGGTCTCCCTCTCCTGCACTGTCCGTTCACCCTTCTGAGCATGATGGCCTTCACCAAGGACCGATCTCTCCTGGCCACATGCCCAAAGTAAGTAAGGCAGAGCTTCAAAATCCTAGCCTCCAAGGACAGACTTGGTTTTCACCCTCTCCAAGACAGACCGATTTGTTGTTCAAGACTCTTCTCCAGCCCACAACTCGAAGGCATCTACTTTTGTCATTGTCCAACTCTCTGAAGCATAACAAGTAATTGAGACTATGACATGGATTAGGCGCACCTTTGTATCTAGACTGACATAGTTGTTCTTCAACACTCTGGAGAGGTCCATGATAGCAGATTTTCCCAGTGCAATTCATCTTTTGCTATCCTGACTCCTGGTGTTATTAAGAGTGTTGATTGTGGATCCAAGCAAGCTGTAATTGCTAACAATCTCAATCTCTTCTCCATTTAATATGGTGCTGTGAGTTGGCCCAGTGGTGAGAATCTTTGTCTTCTTGATGTTGAGCTTCAACCATATTGAAGACTACACCCATGGTAGCAGATGTCAAGACATTCTGTTGGGAAGATATGCTATCAGGGACCCCTTGCTAAGAGCAAGGATATTAGCTTAAAGACTAAAGTACACCTGATCCAACCCATTATCCTTTGAGTTGCTTCTTATGCATCTTAAAGTTGAACATGAGTAGGATTAATAGGAGAATTGATGTCTTTAAATGAATTGTGGTGTTGGAGGAGAGTCCTGAAAAAATAAAAATAAAACCACAAGTGTGTCTCAGAAAATAAAAATAAAACCACAAGTGTGTCTCAGAGGAAGTCCTACCAGCATGCTCCGCAGATGCAAGGAGGGTGGTAATCCCACCTCACATTCTTTGATCATGTTGTTGTTATGTGCCATCAAGTCACTTACAACTCATAGTGACCCTATGTACAATAGCCCTAAACTCTGCTCTGTCCTGTGCCAATTGCATTGTCTCTGATACACCCATCCCGATTATCCCAGTAACTGAATCAATCCACCTCATAAAGGGCCTTCCTCTCCTGCACTGTCCTTCCACCCTCCCAAGCATGATGTCCCTCTCCAAAGATCAGTCCCTCCTTACAACGTGTCCAAAGTATGTCAGAATCCTTGCCTCCAAGGAGCCACCTGGTTTAACCTTCTCCAGTATGAATCTGTTTGTTTTCCTAGCAGTCCATGGTACCCTCAACACACTTCTCTAGCACCACAGTTCAAAGGCATCAATTCTCCTTCTATCCTCCCTAGTCATTGTCCTACTCTTTGATGCATGGCAAGTGATTGCAAAGGCAAAGACCATGGCCTATATCAGAGCACCTTAGTCTCCAGAGAGACACCATTGCTCTTCAGTACTTTGGAGAGGTCCTTAACAGCAGACTTTCCCATGGTAATACATCTTTTAATTTCCTGACTACTGGTGCTGAGAGTGTTGACTGTGGAGCCAAGCAAACTAAAGCTGTGAACAATCTCAATATCTTCACCGTCCATCATGATGCTGCCAGTGGTGAGAATCTTTGTCTTCTTGATATTGAGCCTCAATCCATATTGAAGGCTGCAGTCCTTGACCTTCTGTAGCAAGTGCTTCAGGTCCTCAGTTTCAGCAAGCAGGGTTGTGTCATCTGCATAACACAGATTGTTGACAGATCTTCCACCAATCCTGATGCCACACTTCTCCTCATAGAGCCCAGCCTCCTGGATATTCTGTTCTGCATACATCTTGAAAAGGTATGGAGATAGGACACATCCCTGGCATACACCCTTCCCAATTTTTCGCAGTGTTTCCTTGCTCTGTTCTGATGACTATCTCTTGGTCCAAGTATAGGTTTCTCATTAGCATGATCAAGTGTTCTGGGATTCCCACTCTTCTCAGAGTCAGCCACAGTTTGTTATGATCCACACAGTCACCAATCCTTGGAAAAAGACAGCATTCTTAGAAAGGTCAAGGGTCAGGGAAGGAGAGGAAAACCTTCAATGAAATGGACTGACATGGTGACTTGAACATGACAGATAATGAGGCTGGTGCGGGATAGGGTTAGGTACAGTCAGATCTATTGTAATCAACTTGATGGTACCTAACAACAGCTACAATGTTAAAACACCAAAGAAGAACTGATGCCATTAATGATGATATTGGTGAAGAATATACTCAGTGTCTGTGAACTGAATATGCAGAAAATGTTGAATTAGTGTTTGTTCACCTGTGTATCCTCAACACAATAAAAGTATAATTTTTTTAAATTACCAAGCATAATGAGGGAAGAAATCAGGAAACATCCATCGATACAAATGATATTACTCATGGACAAACACATTTAAACAGTTGCAGCAAGATGTATTGATGTATTGACACAGTGACGGTAACAATGGGCTTGAACATGCCTGAGATTGTGAGACTGGCTTGGGATAGGGCACCAATCCAAGCTGTGGTTGATGGGATCACTATGAGTGGTAGCCAACTCATTGACACATAAAAACTGCATCCAAAACCCACTACCACTGAGTCAGTTCTGCCTCATAGCAACCTTCCAATTAGGTTTCTAAATATTTTTAATTGTAGTTTTAGTAGAAATTTACAGAAAGGTTGGGTTTTCAGTCATTCATTGTTGCACAATTTCTCCCTCTCACATCTTCCCCCTCTCCCAACCCACTTTGCAGTGCACTCCTTATTCCAGATTGTTGTCATAGGTGTAATGTCTAATCATATATTCCTTTCAGATGGTTCTTTATCAGAAGAAATTGCCCATCTTTCTACTAAGGAGCAACTGGTGGGTTTGAACTGCAGGCCTTTTTGTTGGCAACCTGACACATTACTCTCTGTGCCACCAGAATGTCACTTGATGCCTTTAAATTGTGCTGGTGAAGAGTAGTGATTATATCCCATGGTCCCCAAAAATGAATCTGTGTTAGAAGAAATGCAGCCAGATTTCTCCTTAAAGTCAAGGATGGCAAGCCTTCATCCACATACTCTGGGCATCTTGTTGGAAGTCCCTAGAAAAAGACATCATGCTGGGAAAAGTAGGTGGCTCAAGACAGAGAGGATGATCCTCACTGAGATGCGCTGACACAGTGCCTGCTACACCAGGCTTGTGCATGGCTGAGATTCTAAGGATGACTCAGGATCATGCAAGGTTGTCCTGATGAGCCGAAGCTGACTCTGGCAGCTAACAGTTACATGCCATATATATATATATTTGGACAGCAGAGCATGGTGTAGGGAAATACGGGAGGAAAAGTCTCAAACCTTGTAGAGGTGGGAAAAATACTGACATGAAAAATCTACTAAATGGAATGGGGAGCAGATTATACACAACGGAGAGAACTGTTATTACAGACACTATGTACAGTGAAAAGACGACAAAAAGCAAGTCAGAACTTTATTGCCTCAGCTTCATATTTGCTTCATCCAGGCTGGATGTTGTAAATATTTCTCCCTTGCCAGCTTAGTCCGTGTACAGGAGACATTTTGGAGGAAGAAACTGTCCTCCTTGTTCTAGTGTGACTGGCTCTCAAAGTCCCTGGACAAATTACTTTCCCCACAGCTGCTGATCAAAAGTCCGTAGTTCACGAGCCACTCGACTCCAGAGGAGAAAGATGAGCACTGTTCTGTGGAAATTTACAGCCTCATCTCAGAAACAGTGGGTTGGAATCAGCACAACAACAGTGGATTTTGTTTGATTTGGGATTTGGTTTCTTCTTGATGATGCTGGTCTATCCTTTGAAGACTGTAAGTAATCCATTCTGCAGGAACCAAGTTCACATTTCCTCACCTTTAAGATAATCTTCTTTATAATGTTTTCATTTGTTTCTCCCTTCAGTCTGCATTGCGTTCCTGTGCCTTTAGTTTACCCTATTGGGTTTCCAGGGCTGCACACTTTATTTACAGCACCATCTTCCTCCCTTGGAGCCATTAGTGGGTTTGAACTGCTACCCCTTTGGTTAGCAGCCACATGCTTTGACCACCACACCAGCAGGGCTCCTTGCAAGTACATTTCCCTGATCCCCGGGGCCGCCTGGGGCTTCGTTCAGTCCCATGGCACACTCCACAATGGGGGATGAATGAGCTGGCAGTCCTGCGCCGGCCTGAGTCCTTCCCTAGAAGCCCCTTCCCTGTTCTTTGCTGCATGGAGTGCCCGCCCATCCAACCAGCCGACTTTGACTCTGGAGCAGGTGAGAACTAGGTAGCCATTTCTCCAGCACCTCCCCCTCGTCCTCACAGGAGACCAGCTCTCATGCTGGCTCAGCACCCTCCTCAGACAGTGGGAAAGCGCCCCAGAAAGCAATATTTGAAAGCATTCAGTCAAGGCTCTGTCCATCCTCCTTCCCGGTTGGCCAGGGACTTCCTGCACTCACATTTCCACAGTGCACCTGGGGGCATGCGTCCTGATGGTTTCTCTGATCATCCTGGCCACAGAGTCCCCGACGTGATTGTCCTGCAGACTAGGAGAGAAGGGTCTTGAAAACTTGACAGAGGGGTTAGGGGCTCACTCCCAGGGCTGCAGGACTCTTCCCATGGACAAGTCAGGCCCTCCCATGCTGGTTTCACTCCTGAACTGCTGGGAGAGGGAGGTGGAGTGGTCAGTGGGCTCCCAGAATTGGACCCAAGGGAGAGCTTGACCTAAGGGTGGGAAGGAGTGGAATGTGTGGGTGCCACTCACTTGATGTACTGGAGCCCATGGTTTCCAGACAGTGCGGTGGCCACGCATATCACCCCGTCCATCCCCAGGGAGTTCTCCTGAAGGCTAAACAGAAAGATGGAAGAATGAGGTGAGAGCCTCTCTCAAAGCAGCCTCCTGAGGAAGCAGACCTGTGGGGCTGAGCAGTTCCTTGATCAATTTGCCCCAGATGGCATAGCAGCAGCGAGGCGTCATTTCACTCGTGACTGCTGCCCACAAGTAGCCAGGTTGCCCGATCCACATACTACAGGCAATGGACAACCTTAGAGACAGATACTAAGTTGCTGCCCTCCAGCTTAAGCTAAGCAGAATGAGCCCTCATTTGCCATAAAATAATCACACCATGTAAAATGAAGGTCACAATAAAGAGAGTAATGGATATTTTGGTTTCCTAGGGCACAGAAGTAATGTTGACAGCAAGCAGCCCAGTCTGTTACATGTATATCAGCATAATGAGTTTGCAATACAGTGAAAATGATCAACATGTGACACAGAAACCCAAAATGAGCATATGCTGTTGGAGAAATGTCACCCAGAAACTTGCTCTGCCCAGGGTTGCCATAAACCACCAGTTAGTAAAAAAATGCAGTGTCTGTGAGCAAAAATATCAAGGTACAAGGAAAATTATAAGCCCACTACCAGTATGTTGGTTTCAATGCCCAGTGACCCTTGAAGGACAGAAGGACCATTCCATAGGGTTTCCACAGCTATAAATCCACAAAACAGACTGGTTCTTCTTTCTTCCTTGATGGTGGGTTCAAACCACCAGCCTTTGCCTTGCCGCAGAGTGCTTTAATAACTGCTCTACCAGTGCTCCAAAACAAGGCATATCTGTGTGATAATCAGGGCAGCTGGGGTCCAAGGGTTCAGGAAGAACATACAACAGGGTACTAGCAATCTTGATCTCGCCAGAGGGCCCAGGGGGAAGGCCGCCCAGAGCGCAGTGAGGCCTCCAGAGTCACTTACTTGAGGCTCCGGAGACTGGAGTTGACCTTCAGTGCGTTGGCCAGAGCTTTGGCTCCAAATGCTCCGATGGCATTCCCTCGTAAGCTGTCAGGAAAAAAAACAGGAAACCTAAGATGTGGGACCCTTCCCCAGGTGCCTATGCAGTAAAATCCTGGCAGAACAATGCTTTCCCCAACCACCAACCACCAAGATGTTGCGTCTCAGTCGGTCTCCCAGAAGAAGGAAGAGGAGGCCAGCCCAGAGTGGTGGAGGGTTGGTGTGCACATCCATCTTTCCCAAAGCAAAACTCACCAGCAACACTCCACCCAGTGGGTGCCGCTGCATCCAGCATCCCAGAGCTAACCTGGACTTCTCCCAGCTACACGGGAGGTGTCCAAGGTGCCTCTTGGAGCCTAAGGTTGTACTCTTCTAATCTTAAAGACCAAGGTCAGTGGCCACCAGTCAGCCTAGGATCCCCTGAGCAGCACTCCCAGCTCCAGTGTGGGCAATGTTGAGCCAGAGAGGGGAATCCCGTGGGAGTCATGGAGTGAGGCTGGGGCTGGGGTAGCTGGGCCATGCTTGATTTAACCCTCTCAAGACTGAATTGTTTTCAGCTTTGAATTTGTTGCTAACACCATCTCTTTTCAGTAATGGAAAGTATTGTGAGTGAAATTAAAATTTTTTAAAAGTATTAGATTTTTATACAGTCTTCAGGGCACACTGGGTTGGGGGCAGGTCCCCATCAGGTGGCATCGTGCACTAAAAGTGAGGGAAGCTTCCCCCTAAACACTCCCAAACCCACTGCCCTCAAGAAGAGTCCAGATCATGTTAGGAAACCAACTCAGAGCTGACCCTCTAGTGGGTTTGCAGAGGCAGTAAATCACATGGGAGGGCATTGTTCACCTTTCCCCCACAGAGAAGCTGGTGGATTTGAACTGACAAATTCCTTACCAGGATTCCCTGGAGAGACTGCCCCATTTTTTCTATGGAGCTGATGGGCTCAGACAACCCACCTCTTTGTTAACAGCCCAATACTTAATCTACAATGTTACCTCCTTCACTAAAACCTAGGGGTGGAACAATCAGCAAGTGGTCCCACATGCCCCAAAACTTAGGCTAAACATTGCAATTGTTTGAGAGTGTTCACGCAAATTGGTATGGTTGTTTTGTTTTATTCTTTCACATCTATTCCATTTGTATTAGCAGCCTGGTTTTTTAAGGCAAGGGACAGAGCGGAAGCTGGAATACTCACTCAAGAATTTCCAAGGTTCTGTTCACCACTAGGGCCTCTGCCAGGGCCTGGGCCCCCAGGGTGCTGATAGAGGCCGCCTGGAGGCTGGTGGGAGAAGTGCAGTCAGTGCTGACCTGGCTGGGCCTGCTGCCTCGTGCCTGCCTGCCTCTTGCTTTGTCCTCACCACCTCTGACTGAGGGCCAAAAGTAGTGAGGGAGACCGGGAAACTGGGCCAGTGGTCGTTCCAGAGACACCCAGTGATTAGGAGAACTAGACTTGCTTACAAGAGGTCATAACAGATGACCCTCAATGGGGGGAGGAGGGAATGTAGAACAAAGCACAAAATATAAACAAGCCAGATTCACTGATCCAATAGAACCTGGCCCTCTGTCATCCTTGGAATCTGGAGCAAATCTCATCCACATGACACAACTTTCAGCCAAACAGACAGGCCAAGAAGGTGACTGGTAACACCAGGGATGCAATCATTCCTTAGGCTCACCAGTCATGTGTGGTCATATGGGTAGCACTGACAGGGAGAACACTCAGCAAGCAGGAGGGGGTGGGTAGAGGGATGAATGGAAAAGAGAATCACAGGATGTGGAGAAAGTGCAATTACATGTGTGGGGTCTATAATTAATGTTATCAATTAGAAAAGATATATGATTGGTTGACTGAAAAGAATCTGTAAACTTTTTCTCAAATGACAATAAAAACAAAAAGCAAAGACACTTCAGCTCTTGCTGCTGCCTAATGCCCTTACAGCTTGGGTGTCAAGGCTCCCTGAGAATATGCCTTGCCCTGAGCAGCGAACCCAGCCTCACTCCCTCTTTTCAGGGAGATCAGAGCCCTCCCTGGGGGCCCATGAGCACAAGGAGGGCCAGCAGCCTGGCCTCCCATGCTGGTACTCACTGGAGAACAGTCATGGCTGTGAGCAATGCCCAGCTTTCTGGACTGCCCATACTAGGACTCACGGGCGAGTGGTCAGGGCTGGGGGCCCATGAGCATGGGGAGGCCCAGACTCCTGGACTTCCCACGCTGGGACTCACTAGAGGGCAGTCAGGGCCGTGTTTATCCTCAGGGCACTGGCTACCGCGGAGGCCCCCTCATCTCCAATGCTGTTCTCCTGTAAACTGAATAAAGGCAGTGAGCTCTCCTGTACACGTGAGCCAGCCACTGCAAGGACCTGCAGAGCCTGCCCATTTGAATGGATTGCCAACCATGCTCAGACCCATGGACAGAGATGCCAGAGTCTTTGTAAGCATTCCACTGGTCTCACTCATGAGGGTTTGTTGCCCATGGCCAATAGGTTCTTTATTACTATTCAGAAGGGTCCCGACCACCAGAGCAAGAAGAGACTATAATTCAGAAACACTTTCCACTCCACAAAGGTTTAAACGGAAAAGGCTATTCCTCTCTCTGAATCAGAAACCAGGGATCATTGTAACAAATGTCTACAGGGACTTTTGTGCTAAGAAGAGCCCTTGTTGTATAGTGGTTAGAGCACTCAGCTGCTGACTGAAAGACCAGAGAGCTTGGCCATCTGCTTCTCTTAGGGTCACAGCGTTGGAAACCCTATGGGGCAGGTGGACTTGTAGGTTTACTTGTAGGGTTACTATAAGTCAGAATCAACCGAGTGACAATGCATGCAGTTCTAGATTTGGTATTTCGTATATTCCAAAGCAAAGCAAAATGCCCAATTCTGCCCTCTTGGGATGGATTCAGGAGGGGAGGCAAGGTTAAACAATGGAGTCACACAACAGGCCACGTGCAGGCATGGGGTCGCAGTGTGATCACAGGGTGGCTCTAGAGAATTAGTCCAAACCAAAGCCTGGAGGAAGAAGGGCCTGGTGCATCAGAGGAACCCAGAAAATGGAGCCTCTGGCCCCTAGACAGAGTTGTCTGGATATGTGGTAAGAGATGAAGCTGGGCCCTATCAAGGACATCAGACCGTGGGCCTTGGGGCCATCCTGAGGAGTGAGGCCTCATCTTATTAGACCCTGGGCAACCCTGCTGGGCTCTAACCCTGGAGAGGGACATAGTCACACCTGAGAAAGCTTTCCAGCCAAAAGAAACCAAAGCCATCGAATTGATCCTGACTCAGCAAGATTATCAAACAGAGGTCAGACACATGAGAATGAATCTGTCTTTCTAGTTACATAAGCTACCTAAAGCCACCTCCATGGAGTCAGTTCCAAGCCACAGCCATGCTTAGGACAGCAGAACTGCCCATAGGGTTTACAAATCTATAAGCTTGGCAGAAGCAGATTTCTCATTGTCCAAATCTTCAACTTTTTGGTTAACAGTAAAACTATTTAACTACCACCCCACCAGGGTTCCTTGTAAGCAATCTGAAAATTCACTGCTCATGACCATGGCGTTGATTCTGACACAGCAAAACTCCATTGTCTTTCCGAGACTGTCACCTTTATGAAAGCTGACAAAGACCTTTTAGTTAACAGCCAATGGAAAAGACCTTTTAGTTAACAGCCAATCACTTAACCTCTGTGCCACCCTACCTCCTTGGGGATAGTGCCTATTGACACTCACATCTGGTGGCCCTGTTTCCCCTTGCCCCAGTCTACCTGGCATCCTCTGCAATACCCCACTTACTCTAAGCTGGTCAGGCTCCTGTTGAACTGGAGTGCTTGTCCCAGGGCCTCAGCAGCACCAGCCTGGAGGAAGTTCCACTGCAGGCTGGACAGACACATACGCTCATGGGCATCTACTCATCCATCCATCTATCCATCCATCCATCCACCCACCCACCCACTCATCTGTCCATCCAGTCATCTACCCTTCTGTCCATTCAGTCATATTTCCATACAATTATCCATCCTTTCTTCCATCCATCCATCCATCCATCCATCCACTCAGCCATTCTTCCATTCATTCAACCATACATCCATTCAATCATCCTTACATCTGTCCACCCTTCCACTCATCCATCCATCCATCCATCCATCCATCTATCCATCCTTCCATCTACTCAGCCATTTTTCCATCCACTCATCCCTCCATCCATCCAGTCATCTACCCTTCCATCCATTCAGCCATCCATCCAGTCATCTACCCTTTCATCAACTTAATCATCCTTTCATCCACCCATTCATCCATCCACCCATCCATCCATCCATCCATCCATCCATCCATTCATCCATCCTTCCATCCTTCCATCTTTCCATCCCATTATCCTTCTATCTACTCATCTATCCATCCAGTCATCTACCCTTCAATCTACTCATCTATCTATCCAATCATCCACTCTTCCATCCTCTCAGTCAAACTTCCATCCACTCATCCATCTATATATATTCATCCACTATTCCACGTAAGCTTAAAAGCAGCCTCAAGATCCCCAGAGACCTCAGAAAAGAGGGTGCCTCTCACAGAGAGGTCTGATGGTCAAGGCTGGCACTTCCCATTTGTTGGGGTCTTTCCAATGAATGGGCATGAGAATCGCCTCACTATCCTCAAGATTAGTCCCACGCTCCACATGAGACCTCTGCATGGATATATAACACTTAGAGGCACAGCCATTGCTGTGCTAGCCTGTAGGAGACTAAGCCACACAAATATCCACTGGTTTGGGGGTGGAGGTGGTGCAGACTCACTGAAGGGACATGAGGGTGTGGTTTTCTTTCACAGCTCTGGCAATAGCCTGGACACCCTGGTCATGGAGAAGGTTGGCTGTCAGGCTAGGAGGAAAGGAGACCAGAAGCTTTGGTTACTAGCGAACAAGTTCATCCTCCCGATTTGTCCCAGGTCCAATTCACATGCATGTGAGCTGTGGAACTTCAGTTACCAGGTATTCAACATAGCCTGCTGTGTTGAGTCCTGGCAACTGATGAGAGGCAGCTGTCAGCAGGGTGGACCAGGTACAGTGACTGCCAAGGACACACCCAGATCAGAATGTGCCCATTTGATTGGGTATCTGCCTGGAGGACGTGCACCTTGAACCCTTGTTCTGCACCTTTGTGTCAAGGGGGTGAGGCTAGCAGACTGTCTTTGCAATATGTGACTTGGAAGTGGAGAGAAGAAGTGTGACAGCCTGGACCAGGGCTGATATCAAGGATGTGGTTCATTTTAGCCACATACCCAGGGGCCCGAGACTGGGGGTGAAGCCACTGGCACACCTAGCCCTCAGGTACGCAGGCCTGACCCTCCTCACTCCCTCTCCCCTCCCTGCCTCACGTACTCTAGACTCTTCAGGGCTCCGTTAGTGCGGAGGGCACGGGCCAGGGCCTGGGCTCCATCTGGACTGATGGAATTTTCTCGGAGGCTGTGGAAAGAGGAGACCCTGAGGTTTCCTGGGAGACCAGCTGTGGTCAGGCTTCTCACAACCCACACAACTGTAGGTGGGACTGGCCTTCCTAGTGTGCTGTGGTGAGGTGGGCAGGGCTCGGATTCCACACCAAATGAGAGTTCAAGGGGAAGAGTGGACAGTGACAGGCTCTCCGAGGAGGACAAGAGGCAGGTGAGCCTGTGTAAGGCCTAAAACAGAAATCCAAGCCTATTGCTGCTGGCTGGATTCCACCTCAGCAGCCCCTGGTGGGACAGTTGGTCAAGCTTGGGCTGCTAACAAAAAGGTTGGCAGTTCGAACCCATAATCCTGTGGGAGAAAGGTGAGGCATTCTGATTCCCTTATACCCTTGGGTGGTTGTACTCTATCTTACAGGGTCACCATGAGTTAGATCTGACCTGAAGGTGGCAACAGAGGTGCCATTGTGGTCCTGGGATTGACTGCATGTCAGATGGAAGTAGCCCTGGCACAGAGAATTAAGCGCCAACTGCTAACCAAAAGATCGTCAGCTTTAACCCACTGGCAGCTTTAGGAGAGAAGAATGGGGATTTGTGTCTCTGTAAATACTGTTGGCTTTGGAAGCCCCTTGGGGCAGTTCCACACTGACCTAGAGGGTCCTGTGGGGGGGGGGGGTCTAGAGCCTGCAGAGAAGAAGGGAGTAGATAACAAAACATTAGAAAGCCAGACTGCACCCTGCCCTCATGTGGGGCCAGGAGGGGTGCCAGGATCACAAGCCCACTGCCCACAAGATAGGCCCCACAGGGACACTTTTGGCTCTTCAGCACTGATTCCTCTTTCCAAGTCCCAAAGGTATTCACATCCTCAAGGTCAAAGACACATGGTGGGAGAAGGGCAGACCAGGACTCACCTGAGGCTGAGCAGGGTCTCGTTGCAGCAGAGGGCAGTCATCAGCGCTGCCACTCCCAAGTCACTGATGGAATTGCTCTGCAGGCTGCAGACAAAAGGTGTGCTCACTTGGCATTGGCTGAGACTGTCCCAGCACCTAAGGCAGCCTGGACCATGCATGGGAGAGGGTCCTGGGCAGGCAACTTCGCACCCAAACCTGCCTTCTCTCTCCTGCTCTAGGGAAGCAAGTCCAGGCACGTGGGTTTGGCACCACAGACCTGAAGCTTGGACTCATCCTGGACGTGGGTGGCTGCAAACTTCTTCTGAGGAGTGTGTGTCACACCCACAACCAGAAGCAGGAAAGCTCAGGGGAAATGGCACTGGCAGGACAGTGGGTGGATGGGTGGTTGTGGTGGAAGCTGAATGGGACCGGGTCATTCCAGGACCTGGTTGTTGGTTCAGTTCTACCACAGACATGGCCTTGAACAACCACCCCTCCACCTCAGTTGCTATATAGGGGCCACAAGGGAGTCACTCTCTGCCCATAGCACCCTTTGAGGGGTGTCAGGCAGACTCACTCCAGGATCTCCAGGCCCTGATTCACCTTCAGGGCCTCAGCCAAGGCCTTGGTGCCTCCATCACCAATGCTGTTACTGGACAATCTGCAAGAGATGAGGCTTGGGTGAGCCAGCTTCCTGAAGTAGCCAGGCAGAGACTGGCCTGGAAGTCAGGGTCTGGGAACCCAGATCTAGCTATCTTGCACCCACACATTCATCTGTTAACTTTCCCATCCATTCATCCATCTATCTATTTATCCACTCATGTATCATATCCATCCATCCACTCATGTATTCATCCATTTATGTATCTATTCTCCATTTATCCACTTATATATCCATCCACCCACTAATATATTCATTCATCAGTCCCTCCACTCATGTACCCATCTACCTACTCTCCTATCCATCTGCTCATCCATCCATCCACTCATCCATCCATCCATCCACTCATCCAACCATCCATCCATCCATCCATCCACTCATCCATCCATTCACTCATCCATCTATCCACTCATCCATCCATCCATCCATCCATCCATCCATCCATCCATCCACTCATCCATCCATTCACTCATCCATCTATCCACTCATCCATCCATCCATCCATCCATCCATCCATCCATCCACTCATCCAACCATCCATCCTCCAACCATCCATTCACTCATCCATCTATCCACTCATCCATCCATCCATCCACTCATCCAACCATCCATCCATCCACTCATCCATCCATCATCCATCCATCCATCCACTCATCCAACCATCCATCCATCCATCCATCCATCCACTCATCCATCCATCATCCATCCATCCATCCATCCATCCATCCATCCACTCATCCATCCATCATCCATCCATCCATCCATCCATCCATCCATCCATCCACTCATCCATCCACCATCCATCCACTCATCCATCCATCATCCATCCATCCATCCATCCATCCATCCATCCATCCATTCTTTCATGCTCACTTTTACAGCTCAATTCAGCAGGCACCTAGGGTATGAATTTGGCCCTTCTTCATTTCTCACATGAGCGTCTTCAGACTCCTGTTCTGCTTTAGGGCATCTGCTATGCATTGTGCTCCCATGACCCCAATGGTATTCTTCTGCAAGCTGTAGAAAAGGAGGATGATTCAGGCCCAGGACACTCTGGGGTCAAGGTTAGATGTCAGAGACAACTGGAGGTGGGATGGAGATTCTCCAGGAAAGGTCTGTGAGTCATTGTTAAAGCAATACTGATGACGCTATGTGGGAGAGTAGGGCCCAAAGGCAACCAGACCTATCCTTCTGAGGGAATGGGAGATGTTGAGAATACTGGTAAATGTTGAGAAACTGGTAGATGTTAAGAATACCCAGCAGCCTCTTATGTGGGATTTCCAAGGGCAAATCTGACTGTTCCCTTATTCCATCCAGCTGCTCAACTACCAGCAATCTGCTGCCCATCTTCCAACCCTAGAACATTGCCCTCCAGGGCAAAGGGCAGAATCTGCCTGGATTTCTTTTCTCAAAAACTCACTTCTCTAGACTTCCAGGCAGCTGGCGAGAAACACCAGCCTTTCAACCCATGCTTTCTTCCTGATTGGTCAGACAGAGCCTTTTGCATGAAGAGTAAACACAGATCAAAACGATGGAGTCCCCCATTTAACCATAGAAGAGAGTCTCCTTCTCTTTGAGAAAACTTGTGGCCGTAAATCCTTTCACTGTCCTTTTGGGATACATGTAAAAATTTCCAAAATAAAAATAAGTCTCTACAGTTTTACAACCCAAGAATGGTCCTGAAGCTTCCTCTTGGAAAGGTAGACATCAAAGGCCATCACAGCCTCCCTGCCCAGCACTGGCACCAGGGTTGCAACCAGGGTGCTTGTCACAGAGTTAAGAGAAGTTTGCTTTTTTTTTCCTTAAAAGCCAACACAGGGCAAGATCTGGTGGCCTAGTGGCAGGAAACTGCACTGCAATCCCAGAGGTGCGCGGTTCAAATTCACCAGATGCTCTGCTGAAGAAGGAGGAACAATCGCCTTCTGTACCAGTCAGATCCAATTTGATGGTACACACATAAAATAAATAAATAAAAATTATTTTTTAAAAAAAGCCAACACAGGTGGCCACCTCAGTTCCTGGGTGAGTTCAGCATGAACTGTGTGTAAGAAAGAAAACCTTCAATGAGATGGATTGACTTAGTAACGGTACAGTAGGCTCAGCATGGCGGAGATTGTGAGGCTGGTGGAGAACTGGGCAAGGTTTCCATCAGCTGTTTCTGGAATCATTATGAATCATAGTTGACAGCTGGCAACAATGTATATGCCATTGGTGTTGTGGGTAAGTGTTTAACCTGCTGAGCAAAAACTGTGCCATTTGAACTCGCCAGCTACTCTGCAGGAGAAAGGCAAGGTTGTATGAGACCAGTCATGGTTTCTCCTGGGATGAGCACATGCTGAGGGGAGTCTGCTTGGTGGCTCACAGGAGTGAGCCCACTTCCTCTCTTTGCTCAGTGACTATGCCTAAGTTGCATATCACAGTATGGATTAAGACATCCCACAATAAAATGCCTTTGTTCTTTCTTCTGTACATTGTTGGACAGGATTTTCTGGATGGAGACTTTATTTTGTAATTATTTTCTCAACTTATGCTCCCTAGAAAAAAAGCCCTGGAAGAGTATTGGTCAAAGCACTTGGCTGCTAATCAGAAGGTCAGCATTTCAAAACCACCAGCCACTCTGAGGGAGAGTCTACTCCAGTGGGATTTACAGCCTGAGAATCTATGGGCGCTTCCACTATCCGCAGGGCTCGAAGAGTCAGAGTCAACTCCTCAGTGGTTGGGTTGGTTTGGATTTTGTTCTCTGGAATGGATCTGGGCTTCAAGTTTTCCAAGAGCTAACTGGGCAAGTTATGAAAGCCTCAGGACTTCACCTCACCCATTCCTCCTCACAGGAAATGGACAGAGGGCCCTTGAAGCAGGGGAGGAAAGAGAAAGGAAGGGGTCCTGGTGACCGCATGTTCACTCACTGCAGCATGCAGAGGGTCCGGCTGTTGGTCAAGGCCTCAGCCATGGACTTAGCACCATCATCCTTGATCCTGTTGCTTTGGAGGCTGTGAAGGTGAGGAAGTGAAGTATTACCATGGAGCCCAGCAGGCCAACCCTACCCCCTACCCCCAGCCTGAGCTCCATGCCTGAAAAGGATGTCCCAAAGCCACTAGGGCCCCAGGAGGGAGCAGTGGTCAGAGCTTCAGAGCTTCTTTCTCATCAGAAGACAGACACAGGACTGGAACAAGTGGCCCTTCCCTCACCTCCCCCCAGGTCTCCTGCTCTGACCTGTGGCTTCTCTCTGATTCCACAAGTTTTTTCTCAGGCTGTCTGGGTAACAGTTACAAGGTCACCAGAAGTTCTCATTACAATTTAAAATGGTAGTCCCCAAGTAGGAGTCTCTGTTGACATAGTACATCACATGTTGGGTTGTTAACCAAAAATTCAGTGATTCAAATCCACCAGTTGCTCCACAGGGAACAGAGAGGCAACCTCTTTCCATATACCTTTCCATGTCACCATGACTGAGAAGCAACTTGACAGCAGGGATTTTGTTTGGGTTTTTTGGTTTAGTTTTGTTGGGTTGGATTTTTTTTTTTAAAGTGTGAGTAAGGAAGGATGTGAAGAAAAAATATCTTCCATCATCACAGATGTTGTTGCTGCTGTTGTTAGGTGTTGTCGAGTATGACTCATAGTGACCCTATGAATAAAGATCTGAACCCTGTTTTATCCTGTGCCATCCTCACACTTCCTGACACACATGAGCCCATTTTAGGAGTCACCGTGTCAAGTCTTCCTTTCCTTCGCTGACCCTCCACCCTTGTCAGCATCATTCCCTTTTCCAAGGAATAGCACCTCCAGTATCTGGAGAATTTTATGTACCCATCCTCACAGATGGGAACATGAAATGCTGCAACCACTAGAGAAAGCAGAATGGTAGTTCCTCAACAAAGTAAACGTGGGACTATAGGATGACTCAACAATTCTTTTCCCAGAGAAATAAAAATACATATCCACACCAAAACCTGCACACAAATGTGCAAAGAGCCACACTATTTACAGTAACCAGAAGCGGAAACAATTGAAATATGCACCAGAGGGCAAATGGATAAACCGACGGGGGTCTACCCATATGTGAACTACAACTCAATCACGAACAGGAGTGGTAGTGTGATATGTACTAAAAAATGGACAAACTTTCACAGTGAGTGAAGGACACCCACCAGATACCAAGTTCATACATCAAATTATTCCACTGATCAAAAATATAAAGAATGGACAAACCCATAAAGACATAAAGCAGATGGGTTGATGGGGGCTTCAGGGAGGAGAAATGGGGAATGACTGCTTAATTGGCACAAAGTTGTCTTTGGGAAGGGTGGAAATGTAGTGCAGTTATGTTGAGGGGATGCTGCATGACATTTTGAATATACTAAATGTCACTGAAATGTATTCTTCAAAATGGCTACTTTTATGTTAACTTCACTTCAAAACAAAAAGTAAAATAATATAATAATAATAAGGCACTCAATTTTGTATTGTCAGATAAGACCAGTTAATGAACTAAATTTATTAGTGCTCCCATCAAGGAGCTCTGGTGGTCTAGTGATAAGAATGTGCATTGCAATCACAAAGGCACACAGTTCAAATCCACCAACTTCTCTGCTAGAGAAGGATGGGTGATTTCCTCCTGTGTGACTAACTAACTGCCTCTGAACTGGAGGGTCGGTTCGACTTGATGGTAAACAACAACAATGAACTAAAACCCAAACTCAAAGGCAGCCAAGTTGGTTCTGACACGTAGCAACCGTCATCAGGACTCCAAGACTGTTGATGATCTTCATGGGGTGGGGGTGGTGGGGAGACGGCTCACCTTTGTCCTGAGGAGCAGCAAGCTAGTGAATTACAACTGCCAGCCTCTGGTCAGCAGTGCAGTGTGGTTCATACTGAGAATATCAAGTAAGAAGGCATCTAAAAGGAATACAGCTAACCACACCAGAGGAACCTTCTGGATTATGGACTTCTCAGTATACTAGAAAATCCTTCATAAGAAGAATCTGACAACAAGGCCTTGGGATTTCCAATTCAGTACAAAGAAGGCAAGAGGCTTTCCTAACAGACTCCTTTGCTCTTGCCCATTTCAATGAGCCTCTCAACTGGTACTTTTCCTCCATCTCCTTCTTGGGCTCTGTCCCCTTCTTGGGCTCAGTGCCTTTCTCAGGCTAACACAAGCATGATGGTCAGAGACGTAGGGTCACACCTTGGAAACTTGATGGATACAAGATCCTGTGGTGTTCAGTGAACCTGGAGCCTAGGTTGTCATGTTTAATTGCTTCCCATTGTGGAATGGCACTTGAGGAAAAGGTTTTCTAGATCCTCTCCTGGAGATGGCAGGCCAGGGGGGCAGGCAACATGTACCTCAAAGAAGCCAGAGTTCGGTTAATCTTCAGAGCATCAGCCAGGGCTTTGGCACCTTGAGGCCCAATGGAGTTACTGCGAAGACTGGTGACAGAACAGTTAAATCATTAGCTTCTTTCATCTGACTCCTAGGAAGGGCTGGAGTTACAGAAGTTACATGGAACTTTAAATCTGTGATCCTCAAAAAGAATGAGTCAGGGTTTAAGATTTCTGGTTTGATGAAACCTAACATTATGTTGTCAAACAAGGAAGGCATTTCCCAAGATGGTCCCACACAATGGGGTAGAGAAGTGGGACTCAGGATTTGATGGACTAGTGGGCTTCAGACAAAATAAGGAGAATGATACTCCCATATTTAGGGCTGAAAATGGGCCCTGAATGAGGGAACCGAGTGTTTCCTGAAGTAGGCTCAGCAGTCTAGCCTCAGCTGTCCTTTTAACCCATCTGGAGGAGTGTGTGTTCTCCCTGTTTCCTACTCATCGGGGGGCCCCCAGTCTTTGGACTCGGCTATGAATTTTCATATCTGAGTACCATGCTCAGAGACTGCCCATGGACTGAGTCTGGGGAAGCAGAAAGGATGGGCAAGTCATTTCACAGGAGGAGGAGCAGGACAAGATGGTGTCCCCACTCTCCCTGGCCCATGGGAACTACTTACTCCAGTGCAGTCAGACTTCTGTTGACCAAGAGGGATCTGGCCAGAGCTTTGGCTCCTTTGTTGCTAATTTGGTTCTCAGCCAAGCTGCTCAAAGAAAGGGAAAGAAGTCGTTATTTGGATCTGTATGTACCATTATTGTTAGGGCTGTGGAGCTGCTCTCCCTCCCTTTGCCCAGAACAGTCACAGAAATTATCAAAGCAGCAGCCGCAACTCTGTTTATCTCTGTTAGAGCTGCAAAAGCTATTTCACCTCCCTTCGTAAGGAACAACTATCTATGACCCCCTACCAGCTCTCTTGTCCTGTACCAAGCAGCTGCGAACATCAAACTCCCCAATTTCCTTGCAAGACAGTGTAAAACTCCACTCTAACTTTAAGTGGCTACTTTGGAGTTAGCCCAGCAGTTTTTCCTCAATAAACTTTCTTGGCCTTAACTGAGTTCTGTCCTTCCATAGCAACCTTACATTTCTGGTGCTGAAACCCAAGTGGGACACCTGCCAGGAAGCAACAAATCCTGATTCCCTAAATTTCCCTGTCTCACTCTCTCTTTCTCTCTACCTCCTTACAAGCCTAGAACTCTCTCCTGAGCTCACTTCCTAAGCCCAGTGGTGGAGCTGCACCTCCTATTGCTTACGTAAAGCAGGAGTGGAGTCTGCCCTGATTCCATGTTGAAATTCTCTCGAAACTCTGCAAAATTGACTTCTGTCTCTCCTCTATATGTAACCTGTTCTCTCCTGACCTAAAGGCACCTAGGATGTGCTGAATCACCCTAATTCTTTTCTCTCCTCCATGAGCTTGATCTGCCTCCTGACTGCCCCTCTTTAAAATGCTGAGAGGACACCCTTCCCCAGGGCTTTCTGCCTCTTGCCATTGCTGACCTTTCTAACAACACCAGACCAATTTGGGATAAGTGGCAGTGGTTCTCCTCTCTCAGCCTCCTGCTCTCTTTGGACTCTAAAATTCCTAGCTCTAGGCCAGACAGATCCCTCGGCCCGGGTGTCCATTCTCTCCTGATGCTGGGGATTTCCACATTGTGAGCAGACTGTCTTCTCATGAGGACAAAAATAAAATAAGGGATGCTTTATTACCTTAAGTCTCTCTCCAGGAACCCCCACTAATTACCTCCCTCCCCAATCATGGGAGCCAGCCTATCCTGGCTTTCAGTACACTACAATGGAATGTCTCTTCCACTCCCTTGAAACTCTCTTTTTGCAAAAACATGGCCAAGCCACAATATCCATTAAATAATAGGTCTCAGTAGCCCTAAAAAGGAGACACTTGAGTTCAATACTCTCTTTCTCTGTCAAAACTGCTGTACTTAACAAATTCTTTTAACTCTTTCGAAACCCTTTCCCCTTCCTGATCAAAACTTCCTCACCTTTAATCCCTCAGCATCCTCTACCACTCCTGCTCTCTCACCTCTATCATACTCAAATGTTGCCTTAACCATGGAGACTCTTTCCACTTCTACCTCAGACTCAAAGGCCCCCCTCCCTTTTTCCTTCCCTCTAGTCTCTCTCAGATGCAGCCAGAAACTGCAGCCAAACTTTTTCACTCTTCACTTTTCTCTCTCTTCCTCTCTACTCACCCTGTTAAGCCTCCTAGTTTTTTTTTTAAAAAAAATCTGCAACTAAAATATTACTCTCTTCCTTTCCTAACCCTAACCTGCATATAAAAATCACCTCTCCCCCTTCTCTGATCCCAACCCAGCAGATAATCTTGCACCATCCTCCCCCACGTCTCCAGACCAAAACACACAGGCAAATTCACCAAGCTCCTGTACCCCTCTCCCCTCTCTCAAGTAGCAGCCTCTACAGCTAAAGGAAGTAACAGCAATAAACAAACAAAAAGTTTATAAAACATAAGCCTACACATGTATATAGTTTTTTACTTTTATTAAAATAAGTTTTAAAAAATTGTTTTGTTGCTCTTTTCTTTATTTTCCACCCACCTTAAAATTTCAGCCAGATTTCAGGGGCGGGGGGAAGATTTCCAAATTTAGATAACACTACAACTTTTTTCACTAACTGAGACCCTAATTATCATAAAAAATAATAATAAATTCCCATTCTATAAATTAGTCTGCTCCTGTTATTAGTAGAAAACCTCAGAAAAAAAGCTTAAAGCCACCAAAGTAACTCAGACTAATTTAACTGCTGCTATTTCAGTATTCAGAAATACAAACTTGGAAGAAGAAAAGAAGGACTAGCTAAAAGCCAAATTTTTAAAAACTGCTACCAAAGAATTTTTTTTATCCAACAAACATGCCAAAAAAAATTCCAATTCCAAGGGTTTTGCTTCTGATGTGGAAAGCCTAGTCAAAGTTACTCAAGCCATAAAAATAAAAAGAGTGCTTCAAGAAAGTAAAGGAGTGGCAAAAAAAAAAAGAAGAAGAAGAAGAAAGTAAAGGAGCAGCGAGCTCTGGTGGCCTGGTGGCAAGAAGCTGCACTGCAGTCCCAGAGGTGTGTGATTTGAATCCACCAGATGCTCTCTGCTGCAGAAGGAAGGACAATCTCCTCCGGTACCAGTCAGATCTGATTTGATGGTACACACATACACAAAATAATAATTTTTTTAAAAGAAAGTAAATGAGCAGAAGGGAAGCCTCCTACTACTTGCTTCCAATTTAGTTCTCATAAATCCCCAAGCCTGTCTTGGTGGCAGAAGAACAATCAGACTGACGGGACCCTGGTTCCCTCAAGGCCATCACAAGTGATCAACCATCACCATACACCTGGAAAGGCCTTGAGTATGCAAACACATTGCTGGTAAGATAATTCACTTTCTTCTCAACATTAACTTGAGAGTCTTGCAATGTTTTAATCATCATCCTTCCCCCACCAACTTACTATTATGAGCATTAAAGAGTAACCTGCAAATAAATATCAAACTCTCCTTTTAAACTCTATATAAAATAGAATATTACTTTCTTATCAATTTCTAGTTATATATAAAAGTTCTGTACTTTTATTTTTTAAAAAACTTGTTATCAAAAGCAAATACTAAAGTTTTCACACCAGTATTTTTAAATAGTATTAAAAACTAGTAACTTCATACCAAAAAGCCTCAATATATTCCCAAAGTTAAGAAATATATAGCCAGTTGTTTAAGGTAATAACTAACCTTTAATAACAAACTTTCTCCTAAAGGTATACAAAACCTGAGCACTGTTCATACATAGAGTTTCTGGAGGTAAGCCATTTTGGAAGTGGATGCCGCTCCTGCTTCCAGGCTTGATTTAGTACCCATCAATTAAAAAAGAAAAGAACTCAACCAGCCGATTAGCTCCCAAACCTTTATAATACACTTTTAAATATCATCTTTCAAGTTCTAATTCATATCAGTCCAACCCTCACTAAAAATTGTTAACTTTATCTCCCCATGATAGAGAGTGGTCATAACCACCTGTCCCACATAATTAAACTTCAAAACATTACACCTCAACCCCACACCCCCCCCCAAAAAATCCTCTCAAAGGTCAACTAGCAGACAATATAATCTTTCTTCCTACCTCAAATGTTATCTTCCTACTTTCCATTAAAGGCACAAAAGTAGTAAACAATGTTGCCTCCTCTTATTGTAATTACACCCTTTTCTTGTCAAATAATACCACTCAACACTCTGCTTCAAAGGTATTCTTCATTTGTGGTAACTCGGCTTATCAGTGCTTGCAAACCAACTGAACTAAAGTCTGCACATGTACCTTCCTCAGCCCTCTAACAATAATTTCCTTAATCTTAATGTGTAGTCCTTGCCTCATGTGATTTATCTCTAGTTTTCTCTAGGAGCAGATGAGAACCTTTGCCAAGCACACAGTCCACGAACTCCTCATATTATCAACTGAGTAACAACCATGACCCTCCATCATCACATCTGCCAACTCTGCTGCCTAAAATCAAGAGCCTTTTCCTCCTTTGGATTGTCACTCTCATCCAGCAGGAAGTATTTAAAGAAGAGAACCTCAACAGCTCAAATCATATAACAAAAGGCTGGAATGATAGGATTGCAAAGCTGCTCTCCCTTCCTTTCCCAGAACAGCCACCAAAATGATCAAAGCAGCAGCTGCAACTCTTGTTTATCTCTGTTAGATCTGCAAAACCATTTCATCTCCCTTTCCCAGGAATAACTATATATGACCTCCAAACTGCTCTCTTATCTTACCAAGCAACTGTAAAAACATCCTGCATCTTCTCTTCAATAAACTGTCTTTCTTCACCACAACAAGATAAAAGTAAATAATCCAATTGAAAAATGGGCACAGGATACAAACAGACACTTCACCAAAGAAGACATTCAGATGACCAACAAGCACATGAAGAAATGCTCAAAATCCCTAGCCCTGAGAGAGATGTAAATCAAAACAACTATGATATATCATCTCACCCCAGTAAGAATAGCAAAATTTAACAGAACAGCAAGCAACAAAGGCCAGCGAGGTTGTGGAGAAATGGGAACCCTTATTCACTGTTGGTGGAAGTGTAGTGTGGCACTTTCTCAAAAAGTTGCAAATACCATTTGACCCAGCAATTCCACTACTGGGAATACACTTTAAAGAGACCATAACTGACATCCAAGCAGATATATGCACATCCATGTTTATCGCAGCTTTGTTCACAATAGCAAGGAGTTGGAAACAACACAAGTGCCCATCAGCAAAAGAATGGATAGAGAAGCTGTGCTATATTCACACAGTGGAATACAATGCTGCATTGAAAAACAAGGAACTCATGCAATATTATTCAAAATGGGTGACCCTGGAGGAGATTATGCTGAGTGAAATATCTCAGTCACAAAAGGACAAATACTGCATGATGTCACTGTTGTAGAATGGGACTGACATCAGGGTTGGGGTAAGACTGAGAAAAACTGAATAAATTATGTATACTGCATTGAAACATGAGGGAGAGAACAATTTAAAAGTGATATATGATAGGGTATTATGGTTATCACAAGAGTCCATAATTAAGGTTGCGTAGTGGAGTGTACTCAGGTTGGGGGGGGGATGCGGGGGGATTGTATACCAATGAAAGAATTTTTCTTTTACTCTTCAAAGAGAG